AATGTTTGATCTCCAAGAAATGATTCGTCAATAAGCTGCTGCTCAGCCAATAAAGATCTTGGGCACCTGCCTCGAAAAAATTTAATCAGGTGCCTTCAAAACGTAATATACTCTTCAAAATATCTAATACCAGGTTTTTTATTCAGGAGTCTCGGGAGTTTATAGAACATCAACATGAATATTTACATTGAGTCCTTTTCTCTGGATGTCGACTTTCCTTTTATAATCCTGCTTGTTTATGATATCTTAGAAAGAAAATGGAGAGGTATGGTCGTTCTGAAGTTTGGAATGGTTTCTCAAACAGGCCGTGAAAATCCATTAACATTTAATGAAAACGGTGTAGTCTCCAGATTATTTCCTTCATGAAGTCGAGTTATACAAAGTTCTTCACTCGAAAACAGCTTCGTTACTGAAGTCAAGTTTTTTATGGAAAGTGTTAAATAGTTCTGTCAACGTATAAAATACTCTTCATCAGATTCATGAGTGAAAAGTTTCGAGGATTGATATTTTGATATGCAGAAATTATATTGGAAGTTCTTCATGCTGTTTTGTTTTGATGAATGGAGTAGTCTACTTAGGTATTTTGCCCTTTTTCAGAATCGAATATCATGGTGATAAAAATACCATTTATATATATCCTGGTTATTTCGCATTTGAATTATTAATATCAACTTTGAATGCTACGCTGTTTCTGAATAAAACTATCTAATCACTGGAATGCAAGGGAAAGCACAGCAGTCACCGACTAACTCAATCAATGCTATGGGTTCGAACCAGAAAAATTTATATCGCGCCAGTGAATTGTAAGAGCCAGTCCAACTCACAGGCTGCTCCTGATATTGATGGAGAATTCCAAGTGATTGTAACAATAATGAGCGTTGAAATAATGAATAGAAAATAAATTAATGGTGTGGTGTGGTATGAAGACTACACATATCTCTCGAGTATAGGAAAGTTTGGTGGAATACAAAAACTCTGACAGTATATTTACAAACCTCTATTCAATGAATCATTCACTTCAGGAGAAAATACATGTACGTTACCCCAAAGCCCCTGGCAAGTACCAGACCAGGTAGATCTTCCGATGTCCCGTTGTGATCACAAGGGGCTGACAACTGGAAGTGGTCCTGAAAAATATATATTAATGGGCTCGAGATCAGTGTCTCTAATTACTAGCCCAACACTCTATATATGAAGGTTTGATAAATATCACTGTTGAATATGATATGTATGTAAAATTTAGATTGAAAAGCTCTATGCAAATTAATTTCCGGAAACGATATAGTGTGAAGTTTGAAAAATAGAATTATAAAGTTGAGATACAGATATATATCTACATATATACAGTTACGGTCCTGTCTTCAACCAGTCCAAAAACTTCCTGTCCTGAATATTGAGGAGGATGCCGCACTTGTGTTAATTCAGCGTTGGATAGACGTGGCCTCCAACAAACACTTGAAGTAACCTCAAAGTCCTCAGCCTGATCTAGAGATTCAGAGTCAGATGTACCTGCTAGCTCGATGGTGCGGATGGTAGAATTAACCCGAAGGGGGTAGGAGTGAACCCTATGATAATGTAGAATTAAACATTGCCAAATTCTCAAACATACGGTACATACCTCAGCGTCTGGAGGGTTCAAAATGGCGGCATGTGACAACTCGTAAAAATCCCCAATATGGGAAATCTTCCTTTGTATGACAAATCACAATGACTCTACTAGTCCACAATAATAAAAGGAAGATTGTACATACAGGTAATCAATAGAAATCCACTGTAAGTGATTATATATGATTATTGAAACCTGCTACGGTATCACAAGCCGACTCTCGTATCGTCACCACAGGAAAGAAGCCGTAACACCCGTTGAATTCGAAACTTCACTTGAATTATGACAACTGTCAAACATTTGCCAAATCTTTGATGTTTATCGGTCACCAAGGATCCATAACAATGAAGAATAGCCAAATGCACAAAAATATTATACAAGGTGATCAGAAAAACAATATGCACGATATATTCTTCAACGAACGAACGTTTTTAGTATGCACACTGAGGATCATAGAAATAGTAGTAGTAGATTCTTCTTAATGAAATGAAGCAAACTCATGACTAATGAATAAAATGAGTACTTATGATTCTACTGAATTTGAACTGTAACATGAACATTTCTCAATGAATTTTGATTTAATTTCTTTTTATTTATGTGTTTTGAGAAATTCGCAACGGTTGAAAGGCGTGCTTGTTTTTCGACATGAAACGATAGTATGTCAGACAGTGAATCTAAATGCGCTGTTAATTTCTGTCTCCGATCGTTATTGCGCGGCAATATAAATAGGGTATTTGAAAATGAAAGATTTTGTGATTAACATGCCATAATAGTTGTCTGATAATTTTTCGTAAGTCACCATTTCGGTCCTCAATAATTATTTGGTTGAAAAATATACTAATTTCTGAACACCATGGGAAGTAAACTGTCATGCGCGAGACGGCGCAGTCATGAGGTAGTTTTTTAGTCAATCTAGCAACGATTATGAATACATAGACAACTACCTACAGGTGAAACTGGAACGTCCCACAAACTCAAGAATGATTGACCAAATCGGTGCAAAAGAGGGTTGTGATAACATTGTGTTGAGGTTGCCACGCGACTTATGTTTGGTTGCGCAACTTCATCAAACACGTCGTCGTAACGTCAAATTGCTACTTTTGGGATCGTTGCATTCATCCAACCCCTTCGTTCCACATTTGTGTCGTATCTAACATCACTGGAGCATCCTCCTCTGACTACTCACATGCAGTGACTCTGAGATCACTAGAAGAGCCATTACCCGAAAAGTTGAGCCATACTCTAATCTGTAGCACCTCATTATCATTAGCGAGGTGACTCGAAGTATTTCTCACGTACTCGTTGCACAAAGAGCAGAGAAAATGAAAATATCCGGAAAAGCAATTTTCTTTAACATGCACCTCGACTCCATGCGAGAGGCAGTTAAAATTTAATTTCGCTCAGGACAAATTATTGTGTCAGCCAAAGAACTTTCATTACAGGCTCTGGTAGGTCGGTGCCACAATGTCAAAGGATGCAGGTGCGAGGGAGAAAAATTTCGTCTCGATCGGCATGGGCTGTCGATTGAGCTTCACAAAAATTCGCTGGAATTTCTCAGTCTCGAGGTTGAATTGGTTGTTCAACACATGTCAGTGAGAAGATAGAACACTTTGAGATTTCTAGGTGTTGTGATTGTCTACAGAGTTCTTGTGTCTCTGATGTAGCGCTAATTGAGGAGTTGAGATCAACTGATTCATTGGATATTGTTGTTGTTCCTTAATTGTTTTATCCGTCATCCGGTTGCCGCGTTATGGACAGTCCTCAGAAGCATTCAAGAGACTTGTGCGAGCAAGGAATGACAGGGGCCTTACCTTTCAACGTGTGATTCCAAACAATTTTCTGCTATCGGCAAGCCATTGTGATCAGGATACTCACACTTTGATCACCTGACTATCATATTTTTTCATCTCTTGGAGCGCACGAAAGGATATTCCTATAATGTTCTTGAAACATCGCGCATACCTTGGAAAGAAGTGTTGATCGATATTTCTCCAGGGTTTCTGAGGAATAATTTTCGTGTAAGTATAGTGATTTGAAGGATTCGAGGAGTTGGTGAGTGAGGCATCACCAACTAGGCGAATGACGCCTAGGCTATGAAAAATATCCATTATAACAATGTTTCTATTCATGATGGTCAAACTAGAAAAGGGTCATGATGACTTGTCAGTAACAGTTAAGCTATGATTTCATCTGAATAGCAGTTGTGGATTAGGATTATGCATTTTCGAAACGAAGAATAAGAACCCTTCCGGAGTTGTATCATTCCGAAGCCAAGTCTTACTCAGGGCACTACAGGATCAACTTAGTTTCTTGCTTTATTCATGTTGACTGTATTATAAATTCTGTATAAGTTGTGACGAGATATAACAACAAAATACAGATTATGAGTAGATATTCAACCAAGCAGAATGTCAACCGTTCATACAATAATAATAATGCATTTTGGATTGAATCGATTTCATGAATGATCAGGAGGGGATATTATACATTTTGGAGATGAACATCGTTATTCTACACAAAATGCGACCATAAAATAGATTTCATTCTCCCAATGGAAAAATGTTCATCGGATTTAACTCAAATTGCATTTCGAAATTGTTATTGGATTGAAATCATAAATAGCTTTGCGAACATTCTGTGATAAATAATATCAGCACAATTCAACTCTCGAATTGAATTTCGAAATAAAAGCTATAAAGCAGTTCGGATTCAATGATACGAGCAGTTGACAATCGTACTAATAGTATACGATTAGTACATCTTCGTCCAAAATTGATCGAATGTAACCTTCTCAAGAGAAATATTTTTCTCCCTGAACCTGCTTCATGAAATGATCCAGGAATTATCAGATACTGGGTGATTCATGCATACACTCTTACTTCACTGAAAAAAAAGATGGTAGTTATTACCAAACGTTTAGTAAAAGAGGCGCCAGTCACAACTTTCATCAAATGATATTACTACAACATTATATAATACTAAACTATGAGCATAATACTATTTTGTAGTGGTAATATTCGATATCGTATAGTATTATATAATGTTGTTGTGGTATGATTTGATGAAAGTTGTGACTGGCGCCTATTTCACTAAACGTTTGGTAATAACTACCATTTTTTTTCTCAGTGTTTGTTCGATTGATGACCCCATGATCGTTTCTCAATTTCGTCAGGCCATTATATCATTTTGTAGTACACTCCTCAAAAGTTCTTGAGCATATGCCTGATATATCTGCTAAGATCAATCAATCGAAAGCATCGAATAATTTGACTAAACTTCAGAAGATCACGTGCGAATGATATGGAACAATAATGTAACCAAAAAAAGACAAGGAATTCACTGTTCAATTCTGCCAAGAGACGTGCAGAATCAGCAATCTCTGATGGTCCTCCAGGACCAGCAAATATTGATAAACAAAGAGAATGCGGAGGGCCGAAAAGTGAATCTGTTCTGGTTAGATCAAGAAAAAGCGACTTGTTTCATCACTTATTCGCACAACAATCCAATAAGCTTCAGCAAAGCAAAGCTGAAGCACTGAGGTACAACAAAGAGAGAGCTAACATGCACTAAAACTGTGGAATACATACTTCCCTCAGTAGAAAGTACAAAATATTCAGCCACATGTTGCATTACTCAAAGACTCGATAAGCGCAGTCATCACATCCTTTAGTTGTCAACCTCGAAATATGCCGAACAGCACCATATCAAAACTCTTCACTGATCAGAACGAAAAAGCTACACAGGGAGAAAAGGCGATTGCATATCTATGCACAACATTGTGTAAAAGATGTTTGTGAAGTATTATTTAACATTTGTTCAAATAATCACTACAGTCATTTCGTGAAATGAAACAAATGTTTGTGTATATCAATTTGTGAAATATTTGTACATATCGATGTAGCGAAAAACTACACAAAAATATGCACATCATCCAATGCACACAATTGTATTGACTAAATACACCGCTTTTGAAGTAATGTTTCTATTTGTGTAATATTTTGCCACAGTTGTGCAATTTTCTTCCACTTGGTAACAGCGTCCTATTCCCTTCTCCTGCAACGCTCAATAAAAAACTGTCTTCCGGTTGTTATGCTGTTAGGATAACCTCTAGTGAACTAGGATCTTCTGCAGCAAAAACTGTATATTTTTCATTGATAGAATCACACTTGAGATATGGAATACCTTTCTGGGGAGTTTGTGCTGATACTCATTTGAAGCCAGTTTTTATTTTACAAAAGAGAGCGATAAGATACTTAAATAAGGTCAAACCACGAGTCTCTTGCAAACCTTTATTCATTAAAGATAAAATCCTAACGCTTTATGCCATTTTCATATTAGAAACGGTTTGCCTTATCAATAAACATAAAAATACATTTTCGAGTTCAAATTCTCATTATATTACCCGCCAAACAAATCACCTCAAACTGCCTATACCCACCTCAACCCTCGTTAAGGACTCAGTCATATACAATGGTCTAAAAATGTATAATCACCTACCAAATTATCTGAAAACCACGGATAATGCTCATTTCAGAAAGGCCGTGAAAGAATTCCTCAGTGAAAGACCGTATTATAGTCTGCAAGAATTTTTTGGAGAATGTTTTTAATCTGTGATATTGATGATGTATCTTTTATTTTATTTTCTTCACTGTGATAATAATTATAATTTTTTATTGTGTATATGGATGTGTGACACTGTGTTTAAAAAAATACATAGATATTATATATTTGTAGTTTTAGGAAATTGTAACTTTGTCAATAAGATATTATACTCTTTGGACAATAAAGCATATCAATCAATCAATCAATCAATCAATACCTACTCATATCTCAATCTCAATACTCTGAATTCGCACTTGACCTGTAGATGTGTTACAAGAAGGTTATAAGTCTGTATGGTGCAGAATGTAGAATCTTCCCATTTATTATTGTCTGGCGAGTTGGTGAATGATTGATGATTGTACTTATACAGTATAGTCCTTTCGTGAACTTATTTCATGTTTACTAGTACTAGTACTAGTACAAAGTGAAAGATGTAATAAGATGTTTCAACAAAGTGTCGAAGACATTCTTCTTTGTTGGGAACTGCTTGAACTCAGGTATCTAAGTACATTCGCCGGTTAGTTAATATTTCAATTATACCTAATAATAATTTAGTTCAATCAACGAACACTAAAAAAAGCTGAATAGAGGAAAAAAATCGTGTAGTCGCAAATTTTCATATAGTGGTAAAGGGAAGTGTCATTAACAACATACTAAAAGTCCTGACCCGTAGGGGATGAGCGCGATGGTGGGGGAGTGTTTGAAGGTCATTTTCTCAATCAATTCTTGAATAATTCGAAAATCGTGACCTCTAGCGAAAAAATATAAATATACAAAATTGGACTACTTAAAATTTTCTATAAAAAAGTTCCTATTCACTTGTTGTCTACAATGGATAGTTTCTGAGATACCGGGGAAACAAAAATCGAAAAGTATAAAAAATAGAGTTTACTGATATGCAATTCATGTTTGTTGTGTCACTATTGTCCTGCATTTCATGAAATGTATACCTATAGACTGCTTCTCATCAAATGATGGCTTTTACTATGAAAATAAGGACTGGTAGCATAAACTTTTCTAATGAATCAACTCAGTTAACTTTGTTCGTATCTACGTTGCCATAGATATGAATAAATTGATTACTCAATCGTCTGTCAAATACCTACTCTACCTGCAATAGTTACCTATGAACAATGGCTGGAAAGTGTTTGTGAGTGTGATGTTGTCAGCAATATATGTAATGTTGGTGAGAAAGGGATACGTGGATTGGTGAATGCAACTAACTTGAGGATAGATGGAAAAGCTGAAGGTTTCAAGAACAAAAAACAAGGTGTTATTCATCCATCATGCAGAAAGGAATATATTAGAGTTGACTCAATTAAAAAAACTCTGAGAGAAGCTCATTCAGAGCAACAACAACCTTCAACGTCCCAGGAATCCCTACATTTACGTTCAGCTGAAGTGAAATTTGATTTCAAAACTGACTGTCTGTTTTGTGCGGAAGCTATAGATGATGATGATGATTAATTGTTGATATTATTAGAACGTATTCATTCAATTATGTCTGTTCTCAATGAGTAATGTATTTTTTCTGTTAAAATTCAAGTTGAACACCAATTCCATACCATTAAACTCTATTTTTGATACTTCTCGATTTTTTCATCCCCTGTATCTCAGAAACTATCCATTGTGGACAACAAGTGAATAAAAACTTTTTTATTGAAAATTTTATTTACTTCAATTTTGTATACCTATATTTTTCCGCTAGAGGTCGCGATTTTCGAATTATTCAAGAATAACTTGAGAAAATTACCTTAGAACGCTCCCCCACCATCGCGCTCATCCCCTACGGGTCAGGACTTTTAGTATGTTGTTCATGGCACTTCCCCCTGCCACTCTGCAAAAATTTGCGACTACACGATTTTTTTCTTTTATTTTTCGTTCGTTTACTGAACTAATTAGCTTCGACTTGCTTTCAATTTCAACACCCATTGAAAGCAAGTCGTAGCTAATAGCTAATCATTAGGTTAATTGAAATAACTTACCGGAGAATGTTGATACTAGTTCAGGTAGTTCCAAACAAAGAATCGACACTTTGTTGATACATCTTATTACATCATTCACTTTTTGCCACTAGTAAACATGAAATAATTTCGCGGAAGGACTACCTACGATCATTGAGTACAATCATCAATCATTTACCAACTCGCCAGACATTAATAAATGAGAAGATTCTAGTCTACGGAAGTACACATCCTTTCGTATAGTTACGAAATTTGTGTACAAGAAATACACTTTGTGTTATTTTCAGTACATTGATTTGTGAACATTTCCACAATTTTGTAATGAACAAAATATTGGATGATTTTATATATTTGGTGTCACAAAAGTACACACATTTTGTTTGGTTTTCGAACAGAATTGTTTTGAAAATTACAAAACTAAATTGTTTGGTTATACACAATATCTCTCACACAAAATATTACGCGAAATACACAAATTGGTGCTGTCACCAATTTAGAAACAAACTGTGTAAAAAATCTACACAAATGTGTAAAAAGCTTACACTAATTTCTCTCTGTGTATGGAATCCATTGCCTTAAGGAAGTATTTCCAAGATCCTATATTCTCCAAAAGTTCAGAAGAAAGTTCCAACACCTACCTTCCTTTCTCCTTCCTTTGCTCTCTAGGCACACACGATGTTCTCCGAACATTATAAGGATTTCCTCTCATGCGCACGAAGCAATAAGAAAACTGAAAGTGGAGGTTCCGAGATATTTTTGTCAATATTTGAGATGTGTTAACGGAGTTGATTGATTCAGCTCATGGATCCTCATTTCACACTGATGTCAAGTATAGGGATTTTCTGCTCAATCGTAAGTGGACAAAAATTGAGACATAATTGGGTTGAGCTGAATTTCACAAGATTTTCCTTCAGTGCAATAAATAGACTGTTTACTTTCAGGTAATGTTGGATTTTCATCAACTCTCTTCTTTTTCCATTTATCAACAATGTATTGACTGAATACTAAACCGTAATAATTATGATGAAGTTTCATGAACATCAAACATTGATTTTTTATTCTGCGGTGGAAAATTTAGTTTTGGTCTTGAATGACTATATCGAAGTTCGATGTGACGCTAACTGAATGTTTCCAATGATACATTTCATGATATATTGCATAGTACCTATATAGTGGTTGAGTAAAGGTATTATCTCTGTATGAGAAATCAACGTCGCTGAGTTTCCTATATGTACCCAATTATTATTGTACATAACGAATGGTGTTCGAACTATACACCATGAATCTCTGATGATAACCACTGAACAACGATAATCTGCTGAAACAATTTGAGATAAATTCATTGGAGCGCGACCTGAAGCATTGTACGGAGTTGAAGGAAAGCGAGCGTCCGGCTCTAATAAATAACTCCAATAAATAATCTCGGAGCAGCAAAACTCCCAACGGACATAACATAAGCGCCCGTATTAAATGATAGCATAGGATAAACATGCACAAAAAATAACAAGCACTGAGGATAGCGCGCCTTTGTTCAGTAATCTTGACCTTTGCGAAAATCGAAGAGAAATTTTTCGTAGAAATGGACTTGGTACTTCAACGTTATAACTATTTTGTTACCTGATTCATCGTTTAGAATTTTCTACATTCTATGGACATTCCTGAGTGGAAAGTGTGGAAGGATTTCATGAATTTTGGTAGCATTTAGGTGATTTATTTGTAATACACTCAGATGAATAGTCGCAGGTAATATCCCGAGACCATGACAAAAAGCCGACTTTCATCTTCATCATGATTTTATCGAGAGTACCTTGTATTTTGACAACCATATGACCATTAATGATCTGAATAACTCCCGAAAGCTTCAGCTCGAGAGTCGAATCGAATTGTTCCAAAATACAAGTTACACGAGATGAATAAGAGAAAATGATTGTTTTTTTTTTGTCATGGTCGGGTGATATTCAGGAAGACTATT